TATTGAAAAAGCCACAAGGTAACCATGCTTTTAATTTGTGATTAGTGTTACTTCATGTTAATTGGGTGATTATTGAGAAAATTATGAATTTTGTAATATTGTATAATTGTGCAATATTATTATGAATTTATTTAATTATTGTGGGAGGTGTTGGGAGACTTGCTATTATTGTTGTATTTATGTGCCACGTGGTACGCCCCTATTGGAGCTCAATAGGTGGCTTGTAAGGGCTCGGGCTAATCTACCTTTGGCCGGGTAATTTAGCACCGAGTGAGGGCTACGGCTCGAGGTTAATGGAGGGATATAAGGATGGTTGTTTGTGTTTATTATAATATTTCTTATATTTGTTGGAATTATATTATTTTTAATTCTCACTTAGTAAGCACACACTTAACTGTTTGTATACACTATCATAAATTGGCTTTGGTTACTGGGACTTTTGAGTCTCATTATGTGGTTAACAATTTTCAGGAGAAGAGCCACGAGTGACACGTGGAGGAGTCCCAGAGGCTTAGTGGTATAGATCTACTGTCTCTTTTGAGTATTTAATTTATGATTTATAATGTGTTATATTGCCAATATTAGGGCTTTTTGTTTATTGTCAATTATATGAATATATAAATGTAATCATGCTTTTCAAACTATTTCTATTTGTGGTACAATTTGGATAACTGTAATTTTAATATTTGGTTTACTTTGGATTGGTTAAAATGGCATGATTATAAGGCCAAATAACTGACTTGTGTTGAAAATTGACTAAATTGCTTATTTTACTTGTTGGGAGTATAAGGATGGACAAATGTGATTTAGTTTACCTGTTGGGAGTATAAGGATGGACAAATGTGATTTAGCCTAATGGCATGTGGGAGGTAAAAATTTATTTGAAATGTTATAGTGTGTGAGTTGAAGCCAATTATAAAATATTTTATATCGAAATTATTGATATAAAAATATGTTGGGTGGCTGTAACCCAACTATGGTTGAGTTAAATTATTTAAAAAAAAAAATTTGGTGTGTTACAACTATTAAGTATATGTTTCTCATTCCTAGACTTGAGGATATGCTTGATCTAATTTCAAGTTCTAGTTAGTTTTTCAAAATTAATCTTTTTAGTGGATACCATCAAGTTATGATTAGGCCAGGCTGAAGATTGCATTTAAGACATAAGATGGGTTGTATGAATGGCTCGTCATGCCTTTTGGTCTAACCAATGCCCCTAGTACATTTGTGAGGGTTATGACCTACATCTTTCAACCTTAGTTGGGCCAATTTTTAGTTGTTTGCTTTGATGATATTTTGATCTTTAGCAAGTCCAAGGATGAGTACTTATCTTATCTCTGTCAAGTATTCCTTACCCTTAGGAAAGAAAAGTTTTATGTCAATTTTTCTAAGTGCTTTTTTCTACATAAGCAAGTTGTTTTCTTAGGGTTCATTATTTCTGAAAAAAGATTAGCTGCCGATCCTGAAAAAGTCAAGGCTATCCATGAGTGGCTTGAACCTAAATCTCTTCAAGAAATGCGTAGTTTTCATGGCTTAGCATATTTTTATGGATGCTTTATTAAGGATTTTAGTACTTTCATGAGCCCTATGACCGATTGCCTTAAGAAGGATAAATTCCATTGGATCCCTATCGCATCACGAGCCTTTATGAACATTAAAGATAAATTATCTAAAGCCCTTATTCTAGCCTTCTCTAATTTCTTCAAGTGCTTTGAAGTGGCTTATGATGCTTCTGGAGAAGGAATTGGAGGTGTCCTTAGTCAAGATGGTTATCCTGTAGCTTTCTTTAGTGAAAAACTTAATGAAGCTAAGTAGAAGTATTCCATGTATGACAAGGAATTTTATGACATAGTTAGATCCTTTGAGTATTGGAAATACTATCTTCTCCCTTAATAATTTGTTGTGTATTCTAACCATCAAACTCTTAAATTCATAAAATCTCAACGCCATTTAAATCCCACACATGCTAAATGGGTTAAATTCCTTCAAGAGTTTACTCTTGTTGTTAAGCACCATGTAGGAATTGAGAATAAAGTTACGGATGCTCTAAGTCATAAGATTAACCTTTTGCACACTATGAGTGTCAGTGTTGTGAGCTTTGAGAGGCTAAAGGATGACTACACCTCATGCCCTGACTTTAAAGTCATTTATCAAGAAATTGGTAATGGAACTTGTCATAAGCACACATTTTTCCTTATTAAGGATGACCTCCTCTTTCGTGATACTAAGTTGTGTATTTCTTAAATATCTATGAGAGACTTCATCATTTGAGAACTCTATGAGGGAGGATTAGCCAGCCACTTTGGCAAAGAAAAAAACTATTGCTTTAGTTGAGGATATATTTTATTGGCCTTCTCTTAGACCTGACATTGTTCAAATTTTGTCACAGTATTGTACTTATCACACTTTCAAGGCTAGGAAACAAAATATTGGTTGGTACACTCCTTTACCTATCCCTGATGCACCCTAGAAGGATCTTAGCATTGACTTTGTCCTAGGATTACCTCGTACTGGTCGACAATATGACTCTGTTCTAGTTGTCATAGATAGGTTTTCAAAGATGGCACACTTCATACCTTACAGTAAAACTACTGATGCTTCCCACTTAGCCAAGCTCTTCTTTAAAAAATTTGTACGCTTGCATGGATCACCTACTTCCATTGTCTCTGATAGAGATGTCAAATTTGTTAGCTAATTTTGGAACACACTTTAAAAACTCTTTGGAACTCAATTAAAATTCTCTTATGCCTTCCATCCCCAAACTGATAACCAAACTGAAGTGATTAATTACAGTTTATATAACTTACTTCAAAGTCTAGTCGGAGATAAGCTAGGGAATTGAGATTTAATCTTACCTATAGCTGAGTTTGCATATAATAGTTAAGTCAATCAATCCACACAAAAAAGGCCCTTTTGAAATAGTCTAAGCCTTAAACAACCTATTGACCTGGTACCCCTTCCTGTGACAGCCCGTACTTTTGAATTTGTAGAATCCCTAACACAATGCCTTCATGAATTACATACTGAAATTAAGCACAAGCTAACACTTAGTAATAATCAATATAAATTATCAGTTGATGCTTATCATTGAGCTCAAAATTTTAATGAATGTGACTATGTTATGGCTCATATCCGCCTTGTGCGTTATCCTAAAAATTCTTTGAAAAAGTTGTGTGCTCAAGCCTCTGGGCCATTTCGCATCCTCAAGAAATTTGGTTATTTACTTGAATTACCTCCTAATATGTTTATTAGTCTAGTTTTTAATGTTGAGAATCTTGTTTCTTATCAAGGTACTTTTGAGCCTCCCTCATTGTTTAATGATTCTATAGGTACATAGCCTCACGATGCTCCAATCCCTTTATTGCCAAATGTTCCACCAGCTAGGGACAAGATTGATGTTATTGTGAATGAACAAATTGTATTAACCACTAATAGTCTTGTTCACTGCTACCTTGTTCCTTGAAAAGACTTCTCAACTCAAGTGTTACTTGGATTGCTGAAGAGGAGTTTCGTTAGATTGATCCCACCTTGCTCGAGTCTTTTCAACTCCATACCTCTCTAGAAGAGAGTTCTTTTGAGCCGGGGGAAAATAATAGAAAGAAAATTAAAAAGAAATAAGTGAAGATATTATAAGGATATTGCAAATTTAAAAATTGAAGATATTTTGCTCTCATATTAATTATGCATATTTTATTTTAATTTAAATTATTGTTATCTTTTTATTTATTGTTATCTTTTTATTTAATTTTAGAATTTTTAGGATTTTCATGCATTTATTTTCAAGGTTGGATTGAGGCTTATAAATACATCTCAACTCATCTAATTTGTATTTACATTTAATTGAATAAGAATTACTGCTTTCTTGCCTTTCCTTTGAGTTTTCTTTTCTCTCTATTTTCTCTATTGATCTTTTTATCTCTTTTCGATATTCTCTCCCCCTTCTCCTTCCCCGTTCTACATCAATGCCATTAACAAAAACATTAATTTAAAAAAAATACACAGTTTATAATTTTAAAAATATTACTTTTCGTGGATTGAAAATATAAATAATATTTTTAATAATTTAAAAAAACTTTTTACTTGTTTATCAAACTTCAACCACACACACAGCCGATATATCTACTTTGATTAATTACTTCAAGAAGTTTATATATTTGAAAGACTACATTCAATATTAATCATTCTTTTCGCATCACCTGACAAAATTTTGTTCAACACGCTTGAAGGAATCTCTATTTTTGAAACATGATGCAGTATGTGGACGACTTCAGATTTTTCTCACAAGTCACTGGACTCAACTATTAACATGTGATTATGCCTGTTCTCGTGAATTCTCTTGGTTTTCATGCGTTGCTACTTTCATCGGGCCCAAAAAAAAAAATAATGAGTAGGATTGAACACCTAACGTAAAGTTTTGATGAACTACGTATTTGACTTTGTTTTAGAGTAAGCTTCAACTTTTAAATTTAAAGCGTGTAAACTCTTGCATATTGTACAAAATTTTAAAAATAAGTCACATTATCCACTGATTCTAAATGTTAATATGTTTTTTTTTTTTCTCTCAATGTAGATTTGACATTAGAGAAAAATCAAGCGAGTTGTATTGGACTGTGTTCTTGCACTTTTTTTGTCATCATCTAGAATTGGGTTTCAATGGGCCCATATACAGATGGAAAGAGCCCAAGAGGCAGCAATAGCATGAAGAGGAATGATAATTTTTCACGAAGAGTGATGTCTTTATCCCCATCTTTGTGTATTACGCAGATTGTGATGGGGAAAAAAAAAACAAATTCACGGAAAAAAAAAATAGAGGACCCACAATTAATAATGCTGACATCGTGAGAACAAATTCTTTTCAGAAATTATAAAAATAATTTATAAATCTCATAAACATGTTTTAAATTCAATATACAACTCATTGATAAAGGTATTTAGCATCAAGAAAATTAAATGTTCTGAATTTTAATGCTTTTTTCTTTTTTGGGCCACAACAAAATACGTTTCCGATGCTAATTAACAGCATATTATTCAAACTAGAGTAGTAATGCAATGTCCCTCACAGTCACATTCACAAAACGCTTTCAACACTTGCTGCCGCTTTGTTGTTAATTAACCACACAGCACCAGTCCCTTCCTCGCTAATCAAATTCGAGACTTAAATTCGTACACAAGTCCTAAATGTGAAGGATATGCAGAACAAATGCAAACCCCTTCACAGGAGCGCGCAAACACACACACCCCTAATTGACCCAAGAAATTCTCAACCAGATGTATTCACCGGTTAATAGGGAGGGGGTCCTCCGGGAGGGCCGGGCGGACCGCCTGGCGGTCCCCCAGGAGGCCCAGGAGGGCCCCACGGACCAGGACCCGGTGGCGGTGGTGGCGGAGCATAGAAAGGCACAGGTGGAGGAGGAGCTGGAACCGGAGCTGGTGGTGCCGGTGCCGGTGCCGGAGGTGGAGCAGGGCCAGGCGCAGGTGGTGGTGGAGGAGGAGGATTGAAACAATCTTGTATCAACCAACAGCAACATACAACATATAAACTGCCAAAACGCATAGTGTAAAAATTAAAGCGAGCAGATAATCATTCGAACGGCATTAAGATTAGAAGTATGAAGAAAACAGAGAATGTGATGGAAGTAGTAATAAAGAAACTCACCAGGAAGAAACAGCAGAGCAGAGTCCGTCGAAGAAGCCGCCAAGCGGTCCGAAGAAGGGGCCAGGAGGGCCGGGCGGTCCAGGCCCAGGACCTCCAGGAGGAGCCGGTGGTCTCATTTAGGATCTAATTCCAATGGAAGATGACAATTGCAAATTAAAATAAAAGGGGCAAGGACGTTGAACAAGAAGAGGAGGAAGACCGGGTTTGATATATATGGAGGTATCCAAAGTTTGGTTTGAGGACACGTGTCGGTTGTTACTTGTTACCAGGTTCGGTAACTAACTGTCAACTGCTGCTCTCCCATCTACCCTTCTCGCTTGTTGGCTTCCCAGTGTGGAACTGCGATAAGTTTAGCTGTGTCAGCAAAGTCAGTCAGAAAGAGAGTGTTATATAGGAAGTGAGAACAAGAATTGTAAACCGTGTTTGAAATTGTTTATTGAAAAATAATAAGAATGAAAATAGATTTTATATATATATATATAAAAATAAACCATACAGTAGAATGGTAGTTTAAGTGTCGGGGGAAACAAGTATTCAGTTTTCACTTTTCAGATGCTGAAGCTCAACGACCAACGAAATGGAGGGATAATCATTTGACCCAACCAACAACCCACGTACGCCTTATGAACGGAAGGTAGAAGAGCGTAACAATAGTGGAAAGAGTAAATCAGTGTTTTAAAATTTATACCGAACATTAAATCAAAAAGAGCAACGGGTTACGATTTTTATGGTCTAATCAGTTAGACCGACAGTTGAATCAGTAACATAAAAATTACATAAAAAATAAAATTTATATGCACAATTATATAAATAAAATATTAATTTGTTAATGGTGTTTGAGATTTCGACACCAAAAACTAAGTGTTTGAATCGTTGGAGCTAGAGACAGAAGCATGTTAGTACAAGCTTGTGATCTCAAAGAAAAATGCTAGAACTAGAGGCATGCCGTCATGTCATGACTCACAAGCTTTCGATCTCAATGCCAAAGGTTAGATCTTTAGAGTTGGAGGCAGATGTTAGAAAAAAAAGTTAGAGATTGAGTTTGGGCCATAAAGGAGAGATTATATATTAGAGAAGAAAAGAGAGAATTAGTGATTAGAGAAGAGAAATTGTGAATTTAAGCAACTCAGCCTAAATTTTTTTTAATTTTTTTTGCTTTGAACTGGGTTGACCCAGGTTCGGTTTTCGGGTCAAAGCCAGTTCTCTTAAAACCGGCCGATTTAATTTGGGTCAACCTGGGTCAAATGTTAGATTGGTTTAATTGGTTGAACCAAATTATTTTATTCAGTGGGTGACGATCAAATTGATTGGACTGTTCGATCCAATTCGATTTTAATAACATTGGAGTAAACAAAGGTCGAACTTAAATTCTATAGCGTGCAGCCATGATGACAACAACAATAATAACCATCATCATTTAAAAAGTGCAAACCTAACTTCTATCGCCAAGTTTAATATTTACTCTCCAAATGCTTTTGCTCTTTATTTAATTGTTTGACTTCATTTTGACCGAGCACATATATACATCCTAAAAAAATTAAAACTCCAAGTGCATGTTCTTCGTAGATATATATATAGTATTGTCTTAATTGCTGACTAAATCATTCGAGATATAGTTTCTGCAAATAAAACTAATAGAAGCTAAGTGTCATTAACACCCAAAAAAAAAAAAAAGAGTGTTGAGTGTATAATCTTTAATTAGCTCTATAAAAAGATACAATGTTGCCAATTAAAAGTGATATTCAAGAAGTAGTTATCGAATAGGGGTTTCAATGAATAATATATCAAAACATTGATGGGATTGGATTAGTAAAAGAAATTAATCCCTCAACGTAAAGAAAAAACATTTGAGTCTTGTGAGGAGATATGTTCATATTTGATCACCAACAATATGTATCAAATAAAATCACTTTCAATAAAAAAATACCTATGAACAAGAAAAAAAATCTAAATATAATTAGTTGTTAATTTAGCATTTGTTCTTTACAAATTGAATGTTGTGTTTGAATAATAAAAACTAAGTGTGCCAAAGGCACAGAATCTTAAAGATGAATATAGAATCTTTGGACTCCATTGCTTAAGTTCACTTGAACGTGAAAATGTAAATAAATTGGTGAAAATGGTGTTTTTTTATTAATGAAGAACAAAGTATAAAGTTATAGCAATTACAATTTATAAATTAAAAATAAATTGAAGTCTAATTGTGGAACACAAGGTAAATGAAAGTAAACTGTTCTAATGCAAATGGTGTGTATTTCACCTATTCTTGTTCCTTTTTATAATCGCACATCTAAGATTGTTGCCCCCAGAAAATCCAAAACTTGTTGGCAAAATATTTGTGATCACTCAACGCAGCCCAGCAAGATTCGTGGCATGTCAAATAATGATATCATACTCACCTAGTGGCCTTCAATATCTAGTCATTAATTCCAAGTCTTAAGAGTAATGTTGAAACTTGTCTTCATTTAAGTATTGAGCCTATTGTTTTATTTTTACTTTCTTTTCTTAATTTTAGACTAACGTTTTATTTTAAGCCCAAACAGTATTATGATGACATTGTGTAATTCATAAAACTAACCTCATTTAATGAAGAAAAGGTATATGCAAACCATTTGTCTTAAAATAATATATGCGCAAATAGCATTATAGAACTACATAGATTATATTTGAGAAAATCATAATCTTTGCATCCAGCTCTAGATAAAAGATAAAATACCCATATTTAGTTAATTATTTTTTTAAGGACGGGAAGCATACAGTCAAAAAGGCTAAATAATAGGAAAAATATTTCAGTTTTGGAAGCTTTATAAATATAAAAATTAAGTTGGACTCATACTATTCTATAGAATATAATGCTTCTTTCCAACTCTACTCAACCAGTAAGATGAAAAATCACTTGAAAAGGTTACCCTGAGACCCTTCTGGCGGACAAGTTCGCTCAGTGACTCAGCAACGGATAAGCACAAGCATCCACTAAAGCTAGGTGCAAATGATATTTACACCTAATTTAAAACAAAAATATAATCTTTAATTTTTTTAATTATCAATCTAATTCTTAAAATTTAATTCAAAATAACTAAATTCTGATAATTTGCAAAGATATAAAATTATAAGGAATAAATTATTTCAAGTCAAAAAAGTGTAAGAATTAACTTTTTCTAAGTCAAAAAATAATTATGAAGATTGAATTGTCTTGGATGTAAAATCATGGACAAAGTTGATAATTAAAATAATGTTCAGGGACATAAAATTATATTTTTTCTCATTAAAAAATTGAAACCATTTGATGAATTTAAATCTTCCATGAAAACTAAATTATTTATTCAAAAATAAAATAATAAAGCCGTTTGGTTTCTATTTTTCCAAAAATGGATTTTTGTTACTAAAAACAAAAAAAAGTTTAAAAACTTGTTTGGATAAGTGTTTTGAATTTAATTATTTTTATAATTATTCTCATTTTCGGTTTTTTTTAAAAAATAGAAATATATTAAATTTTTTATTTTTAAAATACATTATATTTGATTATTGAAAAATATAGTTACCTTAATTGATGATTATCATGAGTCATAACTATGAACTACCAATCACCATCACTATTGGCCAATATTTTAATTTTAAAACTGTTTCCAAATTAATGCAACTTAAAAGATTTATTTTTTTAAAAAAATAATTTTGAAAATAATTTTATAAAAAATAAAAACAGAAACTAAACAGGTCCAAAGGCATTTCTTTTCTTTTCTTTTCTTTTTTTTGTTCCTTCTTCTTCTTTTTTTTTCGTGCCTGTAAAAGTAAAACCCAAGCCTTCGACTCGGATGATTGACTGGGCCAAGAAAAAGCTGAAGAAGCCCAATCTCAAAACGGAAACAAGCCGCGCAAGCTACCTACAGATTATGTGACTGGTGATGCAAACGAATGTGACTAGCAAGTTATCAGATGTGAAAAGTTTGGGTATTTCTGTAACCGTCCAAGAGTGATGAGGAAGTACGACTCTCTCTGTTGGAGCCCAATTAATCCTTTTCATGGCAGCCATTGTCCATTTCACTACCATCCATTTCCCAAAGCTCCTCTTCTTCAATCCTGTTGGATTCTTCAGTTCCAAGTCTCAAAGATTGTTCTCAGTTTCACACCCAAGCACTTCCAATTTGGGAATCAGGCTCAGGTCAACGCCTTCATCTTCTTCATCTTTCATGGCCACTCAATTTCAGGTTTCCGAAGGTGCACCCGGTGAAGAATTGGAGCATTCCACTTCTCGCACAATCGGAGAACATGATCTTCTCATTGTGGGTCCCGGGGTTCTTGGTCGTTTGGTAGCTGAGAAATGGCGGGAGGTACTGTATTCTATTCTTTGTCTCTATTTTTGCCTTGTGCTTCGTGAAGGGATTTCCACGTGACATCGGTAACTTAATGATCAATTTAGTGGTAGAGCTTGGAATCGGAATATTGTAGGAATTTTCCTACCTATATACATGTGCATAGCGCTCTACCCACGTTTTTCGGCATTACTATTATATTTTATTTTGAAGCAGGGACATCCAGGCTGTCAAATTTTTGGACAAACAGTGACCACTAATCATCACGACGAGTTGATTAAATTGGGCATTAATCCGTCTTTGAAGTGGACGGAGGCCACGCACAAATTTCCTTATGTCATTTTCTGTGCTCCACCTTACCAGTCCTCAGACTACCCTGGTGATCTCAAGTGAGCATCAAAGTTGATCCTTTGACTATTTTTTAGAGAAGTTATGTTTGATAACATGTTTATCTTTGTGTCCTTCGTCATTGGTAATCTTGTAATCAGTCATATTCAGCTACTGAGTACTTCTGTATCAGTTTATCATAATGCATGTAAGTATATAACATAAGCGTATTGATTATTGATATGAACCGAGGATATTAATCTTCACATTGTGATGGTGAGACTGTCTTATTGGATAACTGGAATAATATTCTTTTTGGCACAAATATTCCACAAGGAACAACAATATGTGGAAATTGCAGGAAATTCTGTTGAATTCAAATCAATTTTGGCATCTAATTTTTTCTTTTGTGATCCTCAATATTTGTCTAAACCTCTGAGAAATTCGTCATGGGATATTACAGTGCTAATTCTTCTAGGCTTCTTGATTAACACCCCCAAGCTCATATCCAAGAGTTATGCTACAACTAGTGAGCGAGAAATTTCCTTTTTTAAATTGTTCTAGTGTATTATTTTAGGGCTGGTTTGAGTATCAAAAGTATATAGAAAGCTCTTGCATTGATAAAAGATGTATATGTAAATATTGTATCCATGCTGTATGTCAAAAAGTTTTCATAATAAAAATTTCTCATCTGCGCATATGCATGGGATTATTTAAGAGTTTTATATCACTTTTTCTTTTAAAAAAACGCAATATAAAAATTTAGTTTCCATGCATGATAATAATGAATAATAATAGATAAAACGATATTGTAGAAATTCACTCTAGAGAGAAGATTTTTTGGAACGGTATATCCATTTTTATTATGTTTATGATATTATATGGCATGTACCTATTGTGGGGGATAGAGTTGTTTGCTATCCGTTTGTTTACATTTTCATCTTCTTCAGAATTTTGACCTGGGCCGCTGGGCCTCAATTATGATATCTATGATTTGAATGCTCTGCTCTTGATTGATTGTATTGTTTTCTTGTAGTGATATCAGAGTTGTTGACCAAACAAACCTGAGTGGTTTAATGCCACTTCCTTTGATCAGCTTCATTTTTAGCTGCCAGAAAAGAAAAACATTGAGATGTAGTTGGAAAAAAAGGAAAACTCGCTTTGTTGAGTATTGTGCTTATGTGATGTTTTGGATTTGCGACCTATCAGGCAAGCTGCATTAAGCTGGAATGGTGAAGGTTCTTTCCTGTTTACATCAAGTTCTGCTCCATACAATTGTTATGATAATGGAGAATGCAACGAGGTAACTTTCACTGGCAAAATATCTCATTGAGTGCACACTTCTGTTTTCAAACTTGAACTGCAAATTTTTGAATACCTAATTTTTACATTGCAGGATCTTGTTTAGATCTATTATGAAATGGTTAAACTTTTCACGCAAAATATCACATTAAGCATGCATTCCATATTCTTCAAATCTATGAACGTTGTCTAGGTTCTAGTTTCCAAATTTTTTATGGGCATACATAGGCGAGAGTTTATCAACTCATCAGATTTGATATCCTTCTTTCCAGGATACTCCAGTTGTGCCAATTGGTAGAAGCCCTAGGACTGATGTCCTTCTAAAAGCTGAAAACGTGGTATTGGAGTTTGGCGGTTCTGTTCTGAGACTTTCAGCACTTTATATATCCTTTTCATGGTTAATTTTATAAACATCATAAGAGTTCTTTGATTCAGGTGGTTTTTGCAATTATTTTCACATCTCATATCAACCTTGACATTTATAAACAAAGATGACAGAGGTGCACATGCTTATTGGTTAGAGAAGGGGATTGTTGATGCCCGTCCTGATCACATCCTGAATTTTATTCACTATGAGGTCAGAATGTCAACGCATCTCCAGTTATATACTGTAATTATGTAAACTGTGATAGAAATGGTAGTAATTTTATGTATGTGTGTGTGGTGTGTATTTTAAAAATAATAATAGCTATTTTACAATATCGAGATATCGAATTGTATGTTCTGTGGCTTTATCAAAAGAGGATTCAGGTTTCTCGCTTATTTATTTTCACTTTCATGTCACTTGCAAATTGTGTTTCATGCTAATTTCTATACCGTGAGACATTCTTTACTATAGATAGTTTGCCTATCACATTCCATTCTCTGATCTACTTCTAATCATATATTTATGGTCATTGTGATAAGTTAAGCTAATTAGGTGATACTTTTCTAACCAGGATGCAGCTTCCCTCTCAATTGCAATCTTGAAGAAGAAATTCAAAGGAAGAATTTTCTTGGGTTGCGATAATCATCCTTTGTCCAGGTCACATTCTTCTTGAATTAAATTATTATTATACCTTTCAGATTTTTTTTTTTCAAAATTTCTTTTGCTGCTTTTTGGTTTTATTTACTGTTGCCACCAAATCAGATTTTTTTTTTCTTGAGGAGGAAAAACCCTTAAAGATAACAGTCACCCCAACTACACTTGTGCAGGCAAGAAGTGATGGATCTGGTCAATCAAAGTGGAAAATTTGGAAAAAAGTTTGAGAAATTTACTAGTAAGTACAGCTCTGGTCTCTCTCTCTCTCTCTCTCTCTGCGCTTGGTATGCAGTATGGGAAAGGATCCGGATCACTGCTTAATTATGTTAGCATAATTTTCTGAATATCAAAACGTAACTTGTCTGTATCTTGTCTTTATAGGCTCCGATGGCCCCCTTGGTAAGAGATTGAACAACTCCAAAACACGCCAAGAAATAGGCTGGGAGCCAAAGTACTCCAGTTTTGCTTATTTTCTTGAGACCCTATGATCAACTCCTAAGCATATCGTTGATGCTGAAATCAAGACTAATCTCGGCTATGGCTTTCCATGGATGTGGTTTGTATGTATGCACAAATTGCTTGTTCTTTCGACATTTTCTCCATACTTGTACTGTACAGAAAGGATCATCATTCATCATTGGTTGACCTATAAACGGGAAATGACTATCTGTATGTCATTCTTATTATTCCTATACCAGTAATACACGATCAGTTTTGTACCTCTTTGTTTTGCTTGCTATTTGTTAGGAACAAGAGTCCCATATTGGAAGTATGGGATTCTTTTTTTTTTTTTTTGAACGAAATGGAAGTATGGGATTCTGATGTGGGATTTTTCGGGGTAAACTCGGTCCCTCGGTCCCTCCAATCTCAAGTGCTAAGTTTGGGGGGGCATGTCTTTATTCGGCTAACTAGGCCCAAAATTTTAGGGGCAATCGTGGGCAATCTTGAAGGGATTTCAAGGGATTTTATCTGCAAGGATCAAAGTAAGGCTTTTATAACTAGAATTTGGGGGGGAGGGGGGGTGCCAGGCCCATGTAGGAGTGCAAGACATGGGCGACTCGCGTAGGCTCTGGTAGCAAGCTATCAGGGCGGCCTACCCCCTGGAAAAATTAATTTAATATCATGTGAGCCAATGACCCACATATCAGATATTAAACTGATAAGAACAGATACTACACTTGATCTTAGCCAAAAGGCCGAGAAAGGTATGACCATAGAAATTGCGTAGCTTGCATTTTTTTATCCCATCCAATTGTCCTGGTGCGTGGAAGTCTTTCTGATGTGGGACTTGAAAACTTGCCTAACAGATATTGTACTTATTTTTTCATTGGCATAGAACTCATTTGTTCATTGTTATTTGACTTTGTAAGGGCGAACTTACCTTCAAGAATTACTTATAATTAACGTAAACTTGTTTATTAGATGGATGAGCACAAATAGTTTGAAATATCATTTATTGTATTTAAATTGAATTGAATTAATAAGAACAGATTTCGTATCATCTATATATATATTGAGTAGGGACACATCCTAAAAGTCGAACTATTGGTCAATTGGTGTAATGGAAGAAAGAGATTTTATTTGTGTCCATATTTTTTACAATATACATTATATGCTTTTTTATAATATTTTATGTACATGCCATTACTGTATTTTTTAATAAATAAATTTTATTATTTTTTATCTTTAAATATAAAATTAAAATAATTGAACGAAAAGAATGTGTGTGTATATAATTTAATATAGTAATAATAATATAACTTATTCTTATCAAGAATATTGAGATCCGAGAATGAAAGAGAAGTCACACACTAGACAAAGCCTGATTGTTGAGCTTTGACACTTATTCATCTCCCTTATTTCTCTTTTCTTTAAAAGAGATAAAATAGAGAGAACTTCAAATCAGGTATAACATATATATCCCTTCATCTAGATGAGGGGAAAAATAGAAAGAAAGAAAAATTAAGAGAAAAACTTATTAAAAATAATAAAAAATTATTATTTTTATAATTGGGAGATTGTACAAATGTAAGAAAATTTTGATTTTGATTTTGATTTTTTATGCATAAGTTTTTTTTTTTTTTTTGGGACAAGATAAAAGAATAAATATGAACTAAAGAATCAAATATTAAAAAAGCGGGGCTTCCAGATCAAGAAGTCCCATCCAATTGTATTCATGGTCTCATTATCCACCAGTCATATGGATTCTTCTCTCGTCCGCATTACTATGTTAACGACGATGGGAAACCTGTGTTCCTCGTTATCCACCTCTCATTCCCCTGATTTTACCTTCTCATTCTAACAGTGAGGACTCCTCCACTTCCACCAAAATCAACCTCCCTACCTGCTCTTTCTGCATATCGTATTCGACGTAGAAAATGTCCTTGTGCTTTTCTTCCAATCTACTCACACTTCATTCCCCCAAGCATCAGAGGTTCTCGATAAGTTTGTCTTCTGAATCCTCTCAGTTCGTCAAGTTCTTTCGGGTAAGTTCAGTTCCTTATGCTTTACCCTCCTTCCGACGAGAATTATACGAACCGCTTAAAGTTAGCAGAGAAAGACTGAAACTTTTAGCATCTCTAACTCCATCTGAAGCTGTAGAAACCGCCCCATCTGTATTTAGAAACAAAGCCCCAAAAGACATCAAGGTCTTGGTTGTGGGTTCCACTGGGTACATTGGGAAATTCGTGGTTAAAGAGTTGGTAAGCAGAGGCTTTAATGTCATGGCCATTGCTAGAGAGAAAAGTGGAATTAGGGGCAGAAATGACAAAGAAACGACCTTGGCTGAGTTGAAAGGAGCTAATGTGTGCTTCTCAGATGTGGCCAATTTGGATGTTTTGGAGAAATCTTTGGACAATTTAGGGGTTTCAGTTGATGTCGTAGTATCATGCCTTGCTAGTCGAACTGGCGGGGTAAAGGATTCATGGAAGATTGATTATGAGGCAACAAAGAATAGCCTACTCGCTGGTAAGAAATTTGGGGCAAGTCATTTTGTATTGCTTTCAGCAATTTGTGTGCAGAAGCCCCTTCTTGAATTTCAGCGAGCAAAGCTGAAATTTGAGGCCGAGCTGATGAAGGAAGCTGACCAGAATGATGGGTTTACTTATAGTATAGTAAGGCCTACTGCCTTCTTCAAAAGCTTGGGTGGTCAGGTTGAGTTGGTGAAAGATGGGAAGCCTTATGTTATGTTTGGAGATGGAAAGATGTGTGCTTGTAAACCAATAAGTGAACCAGATTTGGCTTCTTTTATTGCGGACTGTGTGCTGAGTGAGGACAAAATCAACAAGATATTACCAATTGGAGGACCAGGTAAGGCATTGACACCATTGGAACAAGGGGAGATTCTGTTTCAACTGTTGGGTAAGGAGCCTAAGTTCTTGAAGGTTCCTATAGGAATAATGGATTTTGCTATTGGGGTTCTTGATTTTCTGGTTAAAATCTTTCCTTCACTGGAAGATGCTGTTGAGTTTGGGAAAATTGGAAGGTATTATGCAGCTGAAAGCATGTTAGTTTTAGATCCTGAGACTGGAGAATATAGTGCTGAGAAGACGCCTAGCTATGGGAATGATACATTGGAAGAATTCTTTGGCAGGGTACTGAGGGAAGGGATGGCTGGCCAGGAATTAGGTGAGCAGACAATATTTTGAGACTATTATGAGCTCTATGGCTCTAATGAAGCAACCAATTTTGTATCTGTTTAAATGTTTGTATTCAACCAAACATTGCCGTAATTTTTGCAAGTTTCAAGCAATGGTTGTTGAGAGGAAGCTCAAGTCTCTGAAAGTAATTTATTGTTTCTTCAATAAAGTAACAATGCCATTGCCCTGTCCATATATAGCTATTATAACCTGTAGTTACATTGAATGTCCTGAGGTCAAGTTCTTGTTCTGGCAATTGGTATGGATCTTCATACAAATATAATGTTCAGATTCCCAAGTATACTGCTTCATGAATTGCCATGTAATCATGTGTTGTTCATATTGTCAGAAGTTAATGTAATCCATGAGAGTCAGCTGCAACAAAATTGAATTTGGTGAACTCACAATTAGTTTTGCTTTATATGCATCCTGTTACTTATAATTTAGAGCATCTTCTTTCATGTCATATTTAAGCTCTATCTTTCAATTTGAGATTGCCAAACTGATTGTCAATTGTACCTATAACTGAACAGTGGGTATTACCTTCTCCAATAAGGACAAAGGTCTGGATTCTGTAGACACATTTACTGCGTTTTCGGTTTTATCTGGAAACTACTAAAATCATGATTTTCATGATTTCTAACGGAAAACCAAACATGTACTTAGTAACATCCTTGCTATAATCATAATGGTTCAGGCAATTGCATGTTCCAGATTAAATGAAATCACAGTTATTTTTGTGGGGAAGAATAGTTACAAATCATTTACGACATAGAATAATGATAAATACAACCAGGTTCCCTTAAAGATACTGTCATATACAGATAACCAGCACATCTGAAACAATACATACAGTAACAGAAGTTCTTGACACATGGAGATGCAACAAGTTTGTGAACGGTGTCACCCTGGAACTGAGAGCATATATAATAAGCTGAATTAATGATTATTTAGATACTACTTGGGGACACGGCTGTGAAGATTGTAAGCTGAAAGCCAAATAAGCAAGACAGTGACGATGCTTCCAAACAAAGCCACTGCAAGAGAACCAGCAATGTGTCTGCAGAACTTGTCGTAGACATTGCAAATCTTAGTCCAACTAACATGACGGTTTCCCTTTAAACCTACGTATGCCACGCCTCCAGCTGTTCCTGTTGCTGATGCTATGATCCCCAGTATCAGCTGCAGAGTGCCAAGGAAAACTGTCATCTTCTAAAACATAGATGCTGATATGGATAGATAGTAGATACAGACATGACATAATTGAACATGACAGACTATGTGTCTGCAATTTGAAGTGTCACTTTGTGTTTTTGATACTATGATGAGTGTGATACTCTGGTATCAAGGCTTCCCTGGTCAGCTTGATTTGTTAAATTGAGCGTCGAAATTAACCGGTAATAAGAAGACAGTTAGGTAGGTGAATATGAAAAGAAAGCCAGTAAAGGGCTAATTACCGCGTCCCAGAATATAAAGTAGAGAAGGAACTTCAATTTGAGATCTGGCTTCTGGAGGACAGAAATTGATGCTAGAAATGTAATGATGCTGTAGAGGCCGGAAACAGAGAATGCAACCAGAAAATATCTGCATACAAAATTATATTGTATGTCAAATTGCAAGTAACTCTAATAGAACTTGAACTGAAAAAATCTTGTGTGTCCCTAGAAGACTTAGGACCATTGTATAAAATAAGTGGAATAGTTATTTAGCTTAAATTTACAAATTACACTTAAGAAGCATAAAAATTTTAAGTTCAAACATGCACATCAAAAGATTATAAAAATTAAGAAAAACTTCTACCAACAGGAGTGGTAAGCTTATTATTTGGATCAGTTCCATCATCATTATTACTGCTTCTTGGTTAATAATGAGATACTTGAAATCATATTGTCATATAGCATATCACTAAAAACATTAGGACAATTTTCTGGCAAGAACAGACAAATATAGCATGGATTGGGGTAATTCTGCAAAGCGACGACTAACTAATCTTACTTACATCAAAGCTGGTGAGTTCTTGAAGTTGGCTTCCCGTTCCATAGGCCCCATCATCTCTGTTTGGTCACCGGTGGCTATGACCACAACTGCCACCACTGATGCCGCAAACAACAGAAATCTCAGGATAACATCGAACGTAAAGTAATCCCCGCTGGCCGGAGCAGAGCTATATGCAGATTCAGGCTTGTCTGTAGAAGCCATGGTGCTCTTCAAGGTAGCGAGTGAGCTAAATTGAAGCAATGATATGTGCTTATATAAAGAGAAGTTTTTTGCAGGTAAGGAAGCCAAATGAAACAAAAAGGGATAAAGATAAATGAGTTGGAGTTTCCAGCACGCTACTCTGAGCTGGTTTGAACAATCCCTGCATGTTGTTGTCAGCTCAAGAAGTAATCATTTGTTTATAGAATATACTTGATATGCAAGGCTCATAAGGTTGGCGCAAAAAGATATTACATGTCAGCTCAAGAACTCGGATATTCAAATCTTTGATTCTGATTTTGGTTTATTATGAAAAGGATTGCAAGTTTTCTTCTGTGATTACAAGTTTTCCTGTGTAATTTTTTATTTGGTACTCGAAAACTTGGCCATTGATTGATGGATGATTCCAAACTGTGTCTATGTCACGGGACAATATAATGAGCCAGCCTCTCAAGTTATTGACATTTGAAACATAGATATGAACCTGGTGGGGAAAAAACATAGATGTGAACGGATTCGAACGATTCAATTTCAGTTCGGGTGGATATTAAAAATAAAATACAAAGTCGCCCGAGTGTTCTCCTGGATATAGTTCTCATATTGATATGTGTGAATGCACTTTTTTTTTTTTAATTAGAGTTAACCAATTCGTGGGTCTTTGGATGGAATTAACTAGCTACCTACTGGATGTTAGATTTCAATGATTTTATCATCAAAACTAAAAGCACGATATTATTTATTAGATGTTTACCTGATTTTGATCCAACTCAATTTTAGAAAAAAAATAAAAAAACCCTGAAATCCATTCATGCTCAACTCAACTTGGCCTAGACTGGCATAATCTTTTGGACGTACACACGAGTCTAGTTTGAACTTGGTCTAATTATAGTATAATTTTTACAAAATATGGGTTTGGAATTCATATCTAAATGGGACGAGTAGTATAATATATACAGTACTATATAAATATGTCGAATACAGCAATTGATATATATCGCTTTATGGTCCTCATATATATATATATATATATATATATATATATATATATATATATATATTATTAAGTTTAACTATATATGGTATTAACTTTTTACATACAATTCCTCTTCAAAGTGACTGCAGACCTCAAGATTCTTATTCAAATTGAGAATCATCAGGGTCTACGACATGAAGATTGTCCTCTTCATCTAAAAGTCGATAGCATTAGACTGGAGACGAACGGATTCATTTTTGCTTGAGTGTGGTGAGTGCGGTGGACTTCTAAGAGTTATTGCTAGTGATTGAGTTTTAGTTTTAGTAAGAAGTTGAATCATGTACTTGCTGACATTATTGAAATTTATGACATTTTTTATGAGTTAAAATCATGCTGAAAAAAAGGGTTTAAAGCTATGGAGATTTTTGTGATAGTCCGTTCACTATTTTGACCATCACACAGGATAACAATAGTTATCATTCCTTTTGTGATGTTATTCAAACTATGAGAAAACTTTTATATAGGAATTGAACTGTTAACTTTCATTTTTTGTATAGAGACAAGAACAGAATTATCAATAATCTAGCTAGTTAGCTCATTGTATTCCTTGAAATTTTAATTTATTTCAGAAACCTCGTCATTAGGTTTGTTTTTGTTTCCTTGAGGGGTCTTTTGTGTTTTCTCTTTGTTTGTTATTACTTTTTAGTTTGTATCTGTTTACATTATTATGAATGAAGTTTCCTAGTTATATTAAAAAAAAAAAAACTTTTTACCCACACTTATCCACTTACATTTGACATTTTAACACAATCTAATTTTTTTAAAAAATTTTTATCCCTATCATGTCCCTTCCCCAAGAGAGAGAGAGACACGTGCATACATGTATATTAATCATGTTAATATTAAATTTAAATTAAGACTTCTTCTAAAAGAAAGAGGCAACATTGTCATTAGAACAATTGACCGTTGGCAACAAAGTTTAACTTTTTCTAAAGTGATATCATGTAGATATTTGACGTTGAATAGGCTTTTTAAATTTTTTACATAAATTATAAAAAATCTCAAATTATTTTCATATAAGTTGTTATAATATTTAATAATCAATAAGGTATATCAATAATATGCGCGCGCGTGCATAGTAAATCTTACTATCTAGGAGTCTAAGGACTTGAAACTTTTTCATATTACTTATCATCTTTTTCTTGGTTGCTAGATCAGATCAATGGTCCAGATCACGTAAGGAAAAATATATGAAACGAAGGTTGTAAGAAAAATATATGTCTACTTTAATCTTAAGAAACTAATATTATATCCCTGTAAAAAAAAATTAATCGATTTTTTTCTTATCAGTAATGAGTTCGGTCAAAAAGCAGATATTGAAGTGTAAGATTTGCATAAATTCAATTTAATCGGGTTATTCATACTTAATCGAACCCAAAACTAAAATAATAACCAGTAAAAATCACAATTAAGTTGAGCAAATGAGATTTAATAAAATTATGTGTGTGTAATTTTTTTTTAATTATTACATTACTGTTTTGATCACCGGTCCAACCAATTAAACTATAAAAATTGAAACTCACTAACCTTTATCATTTAGCATTCAATCGGACTTTTAAAACATTGATACTATGAGAACGTATTTTTATTTCAACTTTTGTAGGCACATACGTGCGTGGATGTGTGTGGATAAGACAAACATATTGCGTGTAGCAGCTATACATTCTAGAAGGTTCAATGTTTTCTTTATTTTGTTGTTAGGGTTAGGGGCTACATATAGAAGGATTTAGCTACCTCATTTGCTGGATCAAATAATTCCGACAGTACTTCTCAATCAATTTTTTTTTAACACCTTTACTTTAATTTTTATTCATTTAAAAAAAATCATGATATGATCCCACTTGTTTGAATCAACAAGGCACCATTAAACAATAGTAACATGTACGCAATATCTGTTTTTTTTTTGCATGAGTTGAAATTAATTAATACAAATGATAATTAATCAACATATACAGGTGTAAAAGAACTTATAATGAAGTTAATCCTGTTTATTCTGCGTTTGACCAATCTACAAACCCAAAAAAAAAAAAAATTGGATATTTCAAATCGCTTGTTCTTTAGGTACTAAAAAAATCATTTGGTGATATTTTATTTTATTTTTCCTTAGCCAATAATTTGATCTTTATTGGGTCAATTCCTCAACCTCTACACACTTCTTTTATTTATTTGCTTGCAAACAATTATTCAATACGTGCTTATCTAAACGCAAACGCTGAACCGTTCACATTAGATATAGTAATGCTAATCGCCGTTTGGTACTGAGGAATTGTTTTTTTGTTCTTAAAAAACTTAAATCTATGAATTTAAAAGTCATACATCATAAGGTTATACTTTACCATGATGCACTCAGTGTTCCGCTGCGTCGGTCGTTGAGTCTATCCAAGAAATCCAATTCAAATCTGATGGAAGTGGACTTTAGCATACCAAATATCGTTTCACTTTCACTTGTTTGATCTCAACTCTCAAGTATCAAACGGGTGTAATATTTAATATAGAATTATCTTTCTAGTTTCTAACCATGTGATTTGATGTTTATTTTTCTTTTTTTTATTTTTTTTAAGTTGTATTAGGTTGAAAATTTGATATATAAGAAGAAAAATTGTCGCTAGGAGAATTTTACATCTAAATGCTTTGGTCCCATTTAGTCTGGTATAATTAGAATTATACTGTAATATAATTTTCAAAAAAACAGTTGATGCTATCAAAAGAAAAGGTTGAGAAGCTTCATGACGAGTTAATTCATTTGTGGATCAATATAGAACAATCTGGTAGATTATTGGCGTATTTACAAACGTCATAGGCGTAGGGATTCACCATCCAACAGTTTTATCTTGACGTGTATCTGATATATATATGTTGAAGCAATTCAAGTTGAATTTTTATTAAAGTGAATTAATGGTTTTTTTTTCATTTTTAATTTCTCTTTATTAAGTGGCTTGTCGAACAATCATTTGTTGGATAAATAGCATATAACATAACCACTTGCGTATTGATGAAGATTGAAGACATGCAAGAAAGTTGACAATGGATCAGTATTTTGTTTTTATATTTTCTTTGGTTTAAAGATTCTCGTTAATTGCATCGCAAGAAAAAATGGGAAAAAACAGTTCTCTTGAAGGAAGATTCACAATATCTTCTGTCAAATTTTCATTATTGATTTTTTTTGGTAAAATTTTGAAAGAATTATATTAAAATCCCATATAAAAAAATTAATCATTACAAGATTCATTAACAATTAAACTAAATTATATTAACAACACAGCTAATTGTTAATATAATTCAGTTTAATCGTTAATGGACTTTACAATAATTAATTTTCTTGTGTGGATCTTAATTGTAATTCTCCCTAAAATTTTTTTATTATTAATTTAGATATACTTTGAGCATGACTTTCTATAAATTAATGTTTATAGTCAAAGCATAATTAACTCATACAATGTGAATTTTGAATTTTTGCTGGATGCCCAAAAAACTCCAGATTATATTTCACTGCAATAAGATTTTGTTTTTGTTTTTGGTGAAACACCATAATATCATTCGCAAGCAATGAATATTAATCTATCTCAGATTACTAATTGTAAATGGGAAAACTCCTAAAAATATTTTATATATATTAAAGTTCGGTGAGTGATTTAAATAAAAGAAAAACTTCCAACACAACAAGAATTTGGATAAGCATCGCAGTAAAATAAGTGTGTTTATGTATTTTATTTTTATTAATATATTGATGGGAAGTTTAAATAGGTTTGCTTTGCACATTTCATCTTTTAATGTTTTATTTTAGTCTCAATATCTTTTCACTTTTTTAACACTAACACTGCTAATCTCATTAATAGAAAATGTCAACCTTGTAATATTAAATACTCACAAATCATTCTCAAATACTAGGATATTAAATTTAATTTTTAAAAATAAAAATTATTATATTAAAATATCATTATTTATATATTCCTTGTCATCATTTAAGATTATGATGTTAACACTTTCTATTAAGGACAATAACAATGTTAAGG